AGCCGAATTTGATGGAGATCATATATCCCTGATTTTTCTTCTAAAATCATGGATTGAGATCTTTTCAAATAAGGATGGTCAATTCAAACTTAAAAGGCAAGAGCATCTCTTTGTAGAAAATGGCAATAATGAAACTTTAATTTTGGGTGAGAGTCAATCCCAAATTTTAATGGGGCTAGGCTATTCGCTACTGAAGCGAAGGTGGAGCCGCGGATGTTATACCTCTTCCTCTTTTACTAGAATAGTTTTAAATTGATTAGGAGCTTACTAATAGTTTCAGGATTTCAGGATCTCCTCAAACTATTTATTTAGGTATTTAGACCAACATTAAAATAATAGATCCAGACAAGACTGAGCATGAAAAAATGAACATTTAATCTCCTTTCCGCCAACCACTATTAACACCATTAATTTTTTAGTCATTTGTTAAAATAATTTCGTTAAGTTAGAAAAATATAAAAATTAAGTCCCCCTAAATAATTTTAACCAATAAATAAGCTCTTGAAAAAACTATACATGCACTTATTTCAATTAATTGATTTAAGAAGGCACAACTCAATAGATTATACAAAAATAGCACAAACCTCGTAGTAGCTCTTGAAATACTTGATGCAATATTTGACTCTACACGCATTCATAAATTTTTTACTTATTTTTTACATGCAAATTTCCAGTGTTCTGTAGTACTTCAACCTCATGCTATTATAGCACTCAAAATGTTGAGAAAAAATAAAAATAAATTTGACCTTATTTAGCTAATATTATACCAAAATGCTAGCGAGGTGTCTGCTCTAATGCTACAAAGAAATCCCTCACCAACAAAGAGAGTAGTGATCATCAATAGGATGGAACCTAGAATGTTGCCTACTTTTTCCATTAATAGATAGGAGAGAAAGAAAGGAAAGGAAGAAAGCAAGAGAAAAAAAAGGTAGACGGTAAACCTATAATTTCATTTTAAAAAATAAGTTTCATAATTATTAAATTTTTTAACTTAGAGTCACAATTGCATAACTAAGCAAGCTATATAAGGGCAATTGTATAATTAAGATTTCCCCTTAAAATATATGTGAAATTTTATTCTTTTTTAAATATAATAGCTTTCTTGTAAATAATTAAAATTTAAATGATGATATGAAGTCATACATGTAATTTAAAGTTGAAATTAATTTGCCACCTTTTAGAAAGTATCCACATTAGAGTGACTCCTAGTTATATATTAGGGCTAGATTTGCTATAATATTTCATTAGGAACTTATTCGTCAGTAAAAATTATTTAAAAGGACTTTTTTTTTTGAACAGCAAAAAGATATTTATTAATAAAAAAGAAAACGGAATACAAGGGGTACTCCAAACCCATGACAATTTAAAAAGTGCTACAAGGTGTCGACACCTTAACAAAGTGTCGACACCACGTCCGTAACGAGGATTCTGCCCACTTTTCCTTTACATCATAACTCCCTGCATAGATCAACGAACCCTCACTCGAACAACCTCATCAGACCCACAAGACATTGATCATGCATTGACTATGGCTTAAACTACTATAGTCAATAATTGCTCAATAACCTTTGTGAGCCCCCAAATACAACAATTCAAACCTCCAAAGCTAAAACCATAGACTACTACTCCCAGACATCAACAAACCCTCCCTCCTACTGCTATTCATTAGGAATCCTTCTTTTCCTACGGCAATCTTTCAAGCATGCTACTGGATTAATAAACCAGTCCGTTAATGAGAAGGCATACCTTTCTTTTCTTGTAGTGAACCATTGAAATGACTTTAATTGGATGAGCTCCAACATCTTCTCTCGGTTAACCTCTTTGCCTTGGAAAATTTTTTGATTACGGGCCAGCCACACTGTCCATACTAAGGAACTCCAGATACAGTCCCATCCTTCTCTAATACATTTCTCTTTTTGTTCACTTTCAGGATTTCGAAAGGTGTTCCAGCAGTCCAGTTCCATTGTAACTTTAATGTCCCACCACTTTGCACAAGCCATCCATAACCA